GTGAGCCCTGAGCCCTTCCCTCTCCCTAGACCCCTATGTGAAGGCCTCTCTGATCAGCGAGGGGCGGCGTCTGAAGAAGCGGAAGACCTCCATCAAGAAGAACACCTTGAACCCCACGTACAACGAGGCGCTGGTGTTCGACGTGGCCCCCGAGAGCGTGGAGAACGTGGGGCTCAGCATCGCCGTGGTGGACTATGACTGGTGAGCGGCGCTGCCCGGGCGGGTGGCGTGGCCGTCCCCCCTTCCCCTGGTAATCACCACCCGCACCCCAGCATCGGGCACAACGAGGTGATCGGAGTGTGCCGCGTGGGCCCCGAGGCCGCCGACCCCCACGGCCGCGAGCACTGGGCGGAGATGCTGGCCAACCCCCGCAAGCCCGTGGAGCACTGGCACCAGCTGGTGGAGGTGAGTGAGCCGGGCAGACGCTCCGGAGGAGGGAGGAGCCGCAGGGTCTAGGGTCAAACGCCTGCTCCAGGACTGCTGTGCCACCCGGGCAAGCCGGTTTACCTCTCTGTGCCAGAGTTTCCTCGGCTGGGGCCTAGAGCTGTTAATAGCAACTCCCCTTAGGGACAGATGTCAGGATTCGGTGAGTTGAGGGTTCCSTCAAGGGTGGGCTGATATTATGACCCACGGGTGCTAGATATTAATAAAGGGGGAAACTGGGTGATAAAATGAAGCATCTTGGAGCAGGTCGTGAAAATTAGTGGATGTGGTGTCCTGGGTGAGGACATTGATAATAAATAAGAAAATAATAAAGTCAAAATGGAACACAGCAGCTGGGTGAGGTGGCCCATGCCKGTAATCCCAAGGGCTCTGGAGGCTGAGGGTGGAAGATCCCAAGTTCAAAGGCAGCCGCAGCCACTTAGTGAGGTCAAAAGGCCCTAAATCCTCGGTCAGTCCAATGATGGCATGGGACCACTATCCTCATTTAAAATTTGGTATTTTGTTCATCATGGATCTTTGCATTCATTTTGACTTTTAAAGAATATCACATTAATATCTTCCTCAGCTTGATGGCTGGGTGGGGCCACAGCCATGGCACTTGGGTGAATTCCTCATGGCGTCAGTCCGGTCCTGCCTGGACTTCCTTTCTGGTGGTGATGAGGGGTTGACCCTCTGGGTACAGAGCTTGGGTCCTAGACTTGAAGACTCTGACTCTGGTGGGAGGGAGGCCCCACCAGAGCCCCCCACTCCTTTAGTCCTCCAGGCTTCTAACTCACTTGCTCATTCATTCCACAAACTTCTCCGGAAGGTTTCAGTGAGCCGCAGCCCAGGCCGGGCGGTGCTGGAGGGCTGGCTCCTGACTCTGCCCCTGAGTTTCTGCCCACAGAGCTTTGTGGRGCCCCAGAGCTGCCCCTGCTCCTCCCCTGCTTACAGCCCTCTCTGGCCCCTCAGTTCCCCCAGGACAAAGCCTCAGGTCCTTGGAGGCCAGTCGCCCTCGGGCCTCATCTCCCCTTGCACTTGCAGGGACTGGCCTTCTTTGTGCCGCGGTTCCCTGTCCACAGCAGGAGATAGTCATTCCATTGCCCCGACCCGGAGCTGAGTGTGAAGAGCACACAGGCAGGAGKGCTGTCTCTCCTGTTGATCCTTAGTGGTCGTTTTGCCTCTGTCCCCTGCTGAATGTTCTGGATTTCCCCTTCAGGAAAAGACTCTGACCAGCTTCACAAAAGGCAGCAAAGGACTATCAGAGAAAGAGAACTCAGAGTGAGGGGTAAGGAACCCAAACAGGGAGGGGGGCCAACCCAGTCTGAGGGAGGAGGCTGGGCCTGGACCCCTGGGTCTGAGGGAGGAGGC